AAAATGTATTCTTTATATAGTTATCTGAAATTGATGAACTGAATCGATTTGCAGCGAACAAATTGCAGACTATATTTGGTGCGAGTTCGAGGAGTCGGTGCCCATGTCCACCTACTTGATAGCCTATTCGGTCAATGACTTTACGCACAAGCCCTCCACGCTGCCGAACAGCACGCTGTTCCGCACCTGGGCACGCCCGAACGCCATCGAGCAGTGCGACTATGCGGCCGAGGTTGGACCCAAGGTGCTGCAGTACTACGAGGAGCTCTTTGGCATTAAGTTTCCGCTGCCAAAGATCGATCAGATAGCCATACCCGATTTCAGTGCTGGGGCTATGGAGAACTGGGGTCTGGTCACGTACAGGGAGATCGCTCTGCTCTATTCGGCGAAGCACTCCTCGCTGGCGGACAAGCAGCGAGTCGCCTCGGTCATTGCCCATGAGCTGGCCCATCAATGGTTTGGCAATCTGGTCACAATGAAGTGGTGGACGGATCTGTGGCTAAACGAGGGATTCGCCACATATGTAGCCAGCTTGGGTGTGGACAAAATCAATCCCGAGTGGCGTTCCATGGCCCAGGAGTCGCTCAGCAATCTGCTGGTGATCTTCAGGAAGGACGCACTGGAGAGTAGTCATCCCATATCGCGGCCCATCGAGCTGGTTAACGAGATCTCAGAGAGCTTCGACCAGATCTCATATCAGAAGGGCTCCACAGTGTTGCGCATGATGCACATGTTCATGGGCGACGATTCCTTCCGTTCGGGCATACAAAACTATTTGCAAAAGTTCTCCTATGGCAATGCCGAGCAGGATAATCTCTGGGAATCGCTCACAGAGGCGGCACACAAATTCAAGGCGCTGCCCAAGAGCTTTGACATCAAGCGCATTATGGACTCATGGACACTGCAAACGGGGTAAGTGTCCATATATCATAATGCGCGCTTCGAAATTCTGAATCTCGACTCAACCTCTCACAGCTATCCTATTATCAACATAACCCGCGACTATTCAGCTGGCAGTGCCAAGCTCAGCCAGGAGCGTTATCTGCTCAACACTCAGATCTTACGGGCACAGCGAGGCGGTTGCTGGTGGGTGCCGCTCAGCTATACGACTCAGGCGGAGCAGGACTTTGCGAACACCGGTCCCAAGGCATGGATGGAGTGCAGCAGCTCCGGTGAAGCGCTGCCCAAGACCATTAGTGGGCTGCCCGGCAAGGACCAGTGGATCCTATTCAATACCCAAATGTCGACGCTGTACAAGGTCAACTACGATGAACGCAACTGGAAGCTGCTGATCGACACGCTGATCAACGGCGACTTTGAGCGCATTCACGTGATCAATCGGGCCCAGCTAATCGACGATGCCCTCTACCTAGCCTGGACGGGCGAGCAGAACTATGACATAGCCATGCAGCTGCTGGAGTATTTGAGGCGCGAGCGCGAATATCTGCCCTGGAAGTCGGCCTTTGAGAATCTGAAGCGCATCAAGAATATTATCGGGCAAACGCCCAACTTTGAGTTCTTCAAGGTGAGTTCAGTTCTAGTTAGAGTATGGCTCCACATACGCCTACATCCTGCTACATGCAAGTCAACGTAACCCAGAGCTCTCGTTCTGATTTCTATTCAAATTGCAAACCTCATGCGGCCCGACACTAAATTCACAATCTAAAAGTTGTATTTTTTCGTAAGTTCATTTTAGATCAGATCATAACAAAGCTTCGGAAAACATTTAGAATTCCTTTCTATAGCAGAACTCTCTCTCTCTCTCTCTCTCTCTTTCTATCACTCATAGTCTCTCTCTGTATCTCTCTCTCTCTCAGTCTCTGTTTTAGGTGCAGTCGGATAGCACCGACTGCCTCATACTCGTTCACGGCAGAAACTAAACAAATTGATCAAGTTATAGACTTAACTTCCGAGTATACTTAAGGCCTATCAATATTGGATCCATTTTATAAGTCGATGCTTAGCAGAAGTCGTTCGTAATCCATTTTCATTATGCTTTTGAAGCTCTTAAAGATCCCATGTGACAAGTTTTAATCATCTCTATAGAGACTATTTATATATATATTTAAAACTACAAATCTGCAATAGAGAATTAAAACTATAGCCAATATACCTCCTATCCAATAGCCCACAATCCCAAATAAGTCTTGAGGCATAACTAACATCCAAGATACCTTAGTCCGAATATACTCTCTTTACACAACGTGAACGAGTATGTGAAGAAGTGAGCACTTTTCGTATTACCTTAAATCGCTCTTTCACATTCATTCACAGCGTTATCTGCAAAAACTAATCGTGCCCATTTATGAGCATCTGAATGGCTTGAATGACACCTTCATCGACATTGAGCAACAGGACCAGGTGCTGCTCAAGACCATGGTGGGCAACTGGGCGTGTCAGTATCAGGTGGCCGACTGTGTGCCCACGGCACAGGCCTACTATCAGGCGTGGCGCAACGAACCGGAACCGGATAAGCGGAATCCGGTGCCAATCAATTTGCGGCAAACGGTCTACTGCACCTCCATACGGCATGGCAACGATGTTGATTGGCAGTTCCTGTGGACGCGCTACAAGAACTCGAACGTGGCCGCCGAGAAGCGTACGATTCTGTCATCGTTGGGCTGCACCCGCGAGGTGTGGCTGCTGCAGCATTACCTGGCCCTGACCTTCGAGCCCAAGCAGGGCATACGCAAACAGGACTCGATGTGGGCCTTCCAGGCGGTGGCATACAATGAGATTGGCTTCCATTTGGCCAGGGACTACTTCATGACCAACGTGGATTTCATCTACAAATTGTAAGGCATTCTCTCTTATACATCCGACTCAGATATATTTACTATCTTTGCGCTTCAGCTATAATCCCATTACCAAAGACATGTCGCGCCTGTTGCCGCCTTTCTCGGAGCAGACCTTCCTGCAGAGCGACTTCGATGAGTTCAGGAATTTTGTCACCGAACACAGGAGCTCGCTGAAGGGCCTGGAGCAGGCTATACAGCAAACCCTGGAGACCATGCTCACCAATGTCCAGTGGAAGAACCGCAACTACGGACAGGTCTCGGTCTCCATAAGGAGTCTGATTGACAAATAAAAGCACAATTAAAATGCATTACAAATAGAGGTGTTATATCCCACATGTATCCTTAAATAAATTATTTCCTATGCTAGCCCTCATCAGCTAATCGAAAACTCTGGCAATTGAGCATGGCACAAATTCAAATGTTTCAATAAACCATATTTAAATGATTATAAAACACCAAGAAATATTATTTTTAAATCTGTTTTGGGATCGTTAGTATTTGACAGGTTTAAGGAACTAAATAAAAAAATTTTTAAAATTATCATGTGATCTATGATCAATGATCAATGACCAATTCGCCTAGTTGCCTTGAGCTTTGATTCGTAAATCTGATTTCTTACAGTTTCTAACTCTGTGGATCAATATAAGTCAATATACGGGCCCTCGGGCTCCTCTGAGAATGTTACTTAAAATGTAGTTTGGCGTATCGTAAGATACTCTCCTATTATATATAGTGACAACAGCTCAATGAGCAGGAACTAAGCAGAGTTAATCAACTCCTAGAACTAATCAACTCTCCAAAGAGCCTGCATATTAGTTGACTGTAAGAAGTGAGGCATGGTGATAGCAGGGCAGAATATTCAGTTACACACACACATATACAATGTACGTATGGTATGTTGTATATTTCATATATTTAAGCATGTTTTGTTATGCTAATCAATAATAATCATAATCATAATCATAATCAGAATACAAAATGTAATTGGAATTAAACGGCGCTTCTTTAACAAAACTTTCGAATCAAATTTGAATTATTTTTTAGGGATTTGCTTTTTCAATGGAATTGTTAGATCTTACAAGTTACAATTACAATTACATGCTAAATAAATATGTGGGTATGTGTATGTGTGTGTGTGTTTGTAAATGTTAATATCACTAAAGCAGCGCTCCTGAAAAGATGTAACTAAACTCTTAACTAAAGAGCTGAACAGATTGTATCAAGTATTTGTTATTAAATGTAATTTTTATTATTATTTAATACAATTAGCATAGGTGTATGTGTGAGTGTGTGTGTGTGTTAACATACATGAAGTTGTGTCTGTGTTGTTGCTATCTTTATTATGCTTTAGTTCGTCCTATGAAAAACATGAGTATAAACTTTTTTTATTACATTTATAACAATTCTCTGATTGACTTTCAATTTTATGCACTTTTGTGTTCTTCTTTATTTGCCTGTTGCTGCTGCTGCTGCTGTTGTTAATTCAATTCAATTCGCCCAAAAAGAAAAGGCTTCTTTATTGGTTTGCATTTAATTGTAACAACTATTTAACACTTGATATATGTATGCTTGGGCCAATATGTTTATATATATATATATCTATTACTATGTCCAGATGCATTGATAATCATTTTTATTAATATGTACGTATATATGTATTTGTGTTAATGTTTATGTAGAACAAAATATTTAACTACTGTTTGAATTACAAGTTGTCGGTCTCACTTGAAGCTGCCTTTTGGCTATTTCTTTATGGAAAACTGATTTATTAACTATATTCAAAAAATTTATTATCATATCTTTAAAGTACTTATTGAATTGAGCTTTTCTTTATGTTAATTTACAAACGGCTTATCGAGATTTTTTGCGTGTGTTTTATCGTTATACTGAGGCGCGAAACAAGTATTTAAATAGCGTTCGTAACGTGTTAAATTCGTGTTTACAATTTTAGCTTTGATTTCTTACAATTGTTCTTTAACAAATGAATCTCCCAAGACAAAATTCCCTTTCATATGTTTCATAGCAAGTAAAAGCAACAATACTTAATGTATGCTAAACAAAAAATAGCGTGTATGTATATAGATATATATATATGTATGTGAGTGTGTGAGTAAATGTAAAATCTTCTTGAACTGAACGCAGAGAAGTACATTCTAAATGCCATGTGTCAAACTAATTGAATTTGTTAGCCAACGGCTTTAACTGGACCACAACTAACCTACACAGTTGCCCAGGCCCGAAACAAGGGTTTGGCTGGGCGTGGATTTTTTTATTTTTAAATATATATATCATTTATTTTTTCTGTTTTTTTTTTTGCTGGCTTCAGTCATAAGGTTATTTAGTTTTAAACAATTTGTTGTTTCGTATATAAGAGTTATTAAATGTAGTTTCCTTTTTTGTTACTTTTTATGCATGTAGATAAACGATAGAGCTTAAACGTGTACAATTGTTTAACAAACAGACTTCTGCTTCAACTTATGCCCACACTCGTGTGACCTAAACTAAGAGACGTATTTGTATATCTTTCCTATATATATATATATATATATATATCTATATAATGTATTTGAATGTAAGTTCCTACATAGCTGCTCTATTCATATAGTTGCTTATTTAATGCTGCTGTTACTTCTAGGGCACATCTGTTTTACATTTGATGACCTTGCGCAGCGTCGCAAAAACTTTTCAAATCTTGTGCAAGCCACTTTGCAGGTTATCATTTGACCAGGAGCTCTGCGGTAGCTGCTGCGCCGGCACAGCTCCTTGGGCTGTTGCTGCTGCTGCCGACGACGACGCCGATGACATCGACTGCTGTGGTGGAGGTGTGGATGATGAGCATGGCTTCTGTGGCGTCGCCGGCTGCAAATCGAAGCGTGCATAGAACAGCAAATATGGTGTTATTGTGATTTTGCGCGTCGGCGAGAGCAGCTCCTCAAATTCACGCTGTGTCATCGCCTTGATCTTATCATCGTCGCACATATACCAAATGGGCTCGTTGCTGTTGCCCTGGGCGAAGTTAGCTTTAACCCCGCCACGCCCCGTGCTGCCATAGCCCGTGGGATACGATGCGCAACTGTTGGTGCCGCTGCCATAGCTGAGATTGCTGTTGCTGCCATTCTGCAGGGATTCCTCGCTGAAGTCACTGTTGCTGGCACTATTGCTGCCCGCTACGCTGGCCTGTTGGCTGCAGCACAAGCGCATCGCACAACAGTTGACGCCATGACAGGTGGTGTTCATGCTGAGCTTGCCAATGCCATTGGTGATGGTCTTGCTGTTGAATCCGTTCACTTGCTTAACATTTTTGCTCATGTCGCCGCTACTGGATGCTTTGCTGCGACCAAATTTCATTTTCTTTATCAAACTGGTGCCTGATGAGGCTAACGCCGAAGCGGCCGCTGAAACAGGTATACTGGCAATGCTGCTAATACCATTATTGCTCGGTGCCGCATTCTCATTGCCAGCTGCTGTTGCCGCTGACGGGTGTTGCTGCGCGCTGGTAGTTGCATTCCGCCGATCCTTGGGGCAATTGACATAATCACTGGCCAAATCCAAAAAGCATGTGTATGCTATATAATGACCCACTGTTAACGTAGCGCCCACATGCGTTATGACGCTGTACAACTTATATACGTGCAGCTTGTTAGCATCGCTCAGCTCACAGCACTTGGCACAGAAGCAGGGCAACGTAAATGTTGTGGGCACATACGTGCTGACCTTCTCCATGCCGCCCGAAAACCGATTCAACTGGATGACCAATAGACGGGGCAGCACCTCATACGATATGGAGCGTATGGCCTCAGTGTAGCCCGTACACTGATTACAGCTGTATTTGTTATCGCCGCGAAAATATTCCCGCGTTATGCACGAGTTCTGCAAAAATACAAAGTAAATCAACTTTAAACAAATGAATCATTCTTTAATGCATCGCACTCATTTATAAATTGCTATTGAGCGTGAATAAAAGTAATGAATGAATGGAAACTAAACCAGTTTAACTGACCGCTTAAAATGTAAAACAGATGTCCGATATACTTAGGTAAAAAATGCAATTGGAATGAATTATTGCAACTATATATGAAGTCTTTCTATAGCTGATCTGGTATCTTTACTAACCTGTATATAGGCGCTGGGTTTTTCCTGTAATTCGGCATTATCATAACCCGAAATCGGCACAGGTACTGAGATATCGAGCATGCCCTGCTTCTGACGCGTAATTGTCTCACAGCTCAAGCATTTGGTGGTCAGCACCACAATGCCTTCAAAATCGGAGCTGAAGAAGTTGATGTTCAGCTCACGAATGCGCTCCTCTAGACGCATTTTATCCTTAAGCAGACTAGCCGTATTGATTTCATCATCACTGGAATATTTTGCAGGTGCGGTCGATGCAACTGATGCTGTGGTATTAGCAGCAGCAGCAACAGCCGCCGAAGCGCTGGCACCGCTGAGATCGACTGTATTTAAATAGAATAGACTATTGGAGGCGACATGTGAGGTTGCCATGCCACCGCCGGCTGTGGTTGGACTATTATCTTTAAGCGGTGACTGCAATCGTGTCGCCTTTGAGGACTTCACTTCATCTTTTCTCTTAGATTTTCGCGAAAAAAATGACGTTTTTGTTGTGGTAGTTTGATTTTGACTAGTTGCTATAGAGCCATTGCCGGAGGCGCTCATCAGCGCATGATTGCCCACATCAGAACGCTCCATCGAATCGACTGTGTCCGCATCATCAGGATTGGCAATGTAACTGTAGAAATGGAACAGCAATTGGTCAATTAATCACATTTTTGTCAACCTCAAACACAACTCACCCATTCGCAATCACTTCTGGACATTCGCCAATGGCCTTTATCAGCGACTGATTCGTTTCGCGTATACAATTCAGCACACACATTAGAAACTCGTGCGCATCCTGTTGCTGATTACCCTCGAATGTGGCATTGACATCCTGTATGGCATGCAACAGTGTGTCCGCATGATAGGGCTCACTAGAATCGGCCATCTCATTGCCGTGCAGACTGTTATACAGATCGTGCAATTTCTCACTGACCGACTGATGTGTTGACTTTTTGCTTCCACTGTTGGCGGCGTTGATGCTGCTGCCATTACTGGTACTATTGTACGGGTCCGTCGTGGCTAAGTCTTTGCTGCTCCAGCTACGTGCATGCTCCAATTGGGCACCACCGCCGCTAACGTTGCGGCCCAGCGAGGCGGACTTGGCATTCTGTTGACGCTGTATTGCCTGTTGCACCACATTCAAATCGTGAATGAGATGATGCAAATTATGTAAGAAATGCGGGGCAAAACGTAGTGTATACACCACCGAATTCAGATAGCATGTGTTGCCAATGTTGCACAGCGTACCCATAGCTGGGACATGATTCAATGTTGTGCCACCACTGCCATTTAGTCCGCTTCCGGGGTTAGAGCTTGCACCGCTTGAATTGCTGCCACCGGCTGGACCATAATACTGATGACTCTGCAGTTCGGGTGTGTCGCTGTCTCCGGAGACGGCTGAGTTACCAGCACGCAAGCCAGTGCCACTGGACGTATAACCATTGGCCACGCGCCGCTGTTCGTCAGTAGACGTCTGATACCGTCGATCGTATAACGACATGTTGCAGCTGCGTTTGCGTTTCCGAAAAGCCCGAGACGCTGGTTTACTCGAATCAAGCTCAATTTGAGCCGCAGCAATGGCCGCTGCTGTCTCCGCTGAGAAATTAGAATCGATTTCGATCCTGGGGCGACGTTTGCGATTTCTTCCGGTGATACCTCCACTCCCTCCGCGTCTCTTTTTTCCAGTTAGCTTCGGTTCGGGCTCCTCCTCAATGCGATTCCAAAACTCGGGTTGGAAATGTTCTGCAAAATTTGAATCTCATGTTTAGCAATTATTTGTTGAGTGAATATGCTTCAGCTGCTTACCTAACTTTATATACTTAAGATACTCTGTAGCCTCTGTGGGCGTCGGTGATGACTGTACTGTTGGTGGCGGAGTTGATGATCTCTCCGGTATGGGCGGTAGGTTTATTGCAGCTGTTTGTCGTGACCTTAGACTAGCACACCGCGAAAACTCTGCCACATAAACGCGTCGAACCCGTTTACGTTTAGGCGCCGCTTCAATATCTTTATGGGCTGTTTGTTGCGGCTGTGCAACCTGATCTACGTACTCTTGTACTTCTGGATATATGACAGAACACGTTGACGTTGGCGACGACGGCTCGTCGGATTTAGTCGCTGCAGATGTCGTGGAAGCTTGGGGTGTCTCTGAAGTGTCTGACTTCGACGAAATGTACGGGTGTTGATAATTGTCTGAGTTGCTGTTACTGGTGGTGGTGTTGTTACTGTTGCTGCTTGGCGGAAGACGTGCTTGTTCCTCTTTCAGCTCATATATTTCATATTCGTGCATCTTTCATTATCCTGCCAATATTACAAAGTGAGAAATTAGATCCAAGGATGCTTATGATATTGTATTTAACACACACTAATTATCTATATATGACAATACACTCAACAATAAATTTCAGGAAAACAAATGATAGGAAAACTTTTAAAGAGATATATCAGTGTTTAACAATTGTCAAACAAGGGATGCCAGTGTTGTAATATATGCGTTTACAGTTTTAATAACAATTATTGCTTCATATGCAAAAATATGGGAAAAACAATTAATTTTTAAATAACAATAAATTAAAAAAAATTTAACAGTTACAAAAGTAAGAAAGTATTTAATTATATATATATATATATATATATATATATATATATATATATATATATATATATTTTGAGCAAATGATTTTGAAATTTAAATAAGACGGTCACACTGTTGTGCATACCATTCTTGTAGCCCTAACAGCTGACAGTGTTCCCATCTCTCTCTAACTAAGAGGAACTGATTAGCACTACTATTATATTTTAAGTGCGACTTTCAAGCAATGTTATTAAGATGTAAGCGATCGCACGCACGAACTAAGTTTTGTTTGCATGTGTTGATTGGGTGATTCGTCAGCTATTCAAAATTGTCCGATAAGGTGATAAGGAATTGTATAATAATCAACCATTAATCTTACGTACAGGTGTTCATGATTCATTTCACCAAATTACTGACAAACAAGGGGGCTTACATAAATCTGAGAAATGCGCGTGGTTTACTCTCCATGTTCAGTTTTGATTCTCAGGTACCAATCATAGAAAACAGATGCATTTGGTGTACCATTAAATCAATAAAATAACTATTTTCGGTACATTTGTATCAAGCTCGGATATTCAGTTTAGAGCACCCGCCAGGCTGAGCAGATTTCCAATTTGAAAATAATAATTGCTCCCAGCACACGGCTCATTATGTAAAGTTTAAATCATGGCGAGAGCCTTGGCCGGCTGCTGATGAAAATTGACGGCGACAGGTGGGCAGCAGAGGTTGGTAAGCGGGGTTGAAGCGTGGCTTTGGTGAGGTAGGCCAGGGCCAAGCATCGATGGGGGCGGAAACAGAGGGCAGCAAAGAACAAACAAATATTAATGCGAATGAAATGTAGAAAGAGTGAACGTAAACGTGAACATGAACATGAATGTGAACGTTAACTGTGTGTATTGCTATTGATTTTGTTGCTGGAATGAAGGTCACATGTCGCACAGGCTTCAAATACAAATGACGGAAAAGAGCGCATGATAATGCTAAGGTTACACATTTAGACGACACGAATAAGACTGGTTGAACACACACAGTTACAATTACAGCACTGAACAACAACAACAAATGCAAAGTAAACAGTTAAAATAATAGAAGCAAGATTTGCAAATTTGCTGGATGCTGTGACATTCATTTTGCAAATGTGTAGATGTATGGGTGCGCGTATGTGTTTATGTGTTTTCCGTATTAAAATGCGACTCACATATTTTGGGAACAACATTTGCGGGCGGTTGCTATGTTCGGTGTAGCATTGCCTTGAGAAAAATAAACAATTTCAATTGCCGCTGCCAAATGTCATGAAATTTCACTTGCAACGTAACGCAGCGCAACGTAAGAACCATACACACACATACGTACGCATGCAACGCTCCCCGCACTCGCTAAGCTGACACCACACACACTCTAATTTTCACTTTTTTTCACTGCGGCGGTATTCGTTTGACTGTCCAACGGGTTTTGTACCTGGTTAGGAAAACTTTCTTCACTGCTGCACTTCAGGGCATTGTAGCGGTGCTGCACTTACACATTAACATTTATTTTATTTATAGTTTCAAGTGGTTTGAGGCACTGAAATTAGTTAAACTTATGCGCCGTAAGCGTACGGCCGCTCTCGATGGCAGATGATGTTCACTCGTTGTATTGCTACTCGTTATAGTAGACAGAGTTTGCTCCCCATCTTAAAATGTTCACTCCTCATTTAACAGAATTGCTATTCGTTGAAATCGACTCCACAAATAACATGACATGTAGTAGGCTATGGCAATACTGCTTGTGTCTTCTTCTTTCTCTCCGGCAGAAATCACGATGTCGACTGGAGTAAGTAAAAAAAGCGTCTGTCTAATTTGCAAATTATTGTGCAATCCTATATTAATAATTACCAAATTATCGCTCAACTGGTGCAAAAAAGATTGAAGTAAAGGATAAATATAAAATGTTGACCACAAAATGTTTATTTGCAGACGCTTTACACTTATCCTGAAAACTTCCGCGCATACAAGGCCCTCATCGCGGCCCAGTACTCTGGCGCAAAGGTGAAAGTGGCCGAGGACTTCAAGTTTGGCGAGTCCAATAAATCGGCGGAATTCCTAAAGAAGTTCCCCTTCGGCAAGGTGAGGCTGGGTTTTAAGTATAGGTATATATATATATAGAGATTGACGTTGCTTATCTATCGCTTTGGGCGTGGAACAAAGAGCTCAAAAGCCGGCTATGCAACGTCAGCACCTAAGATGGTGCCTCGTCGTACCTACTAACGCAAATAAGCTTATTTGCATTGTGCATGTGTGAAAATTTGCCAACTCATAAGTTTCGCTTGAAAACTTGTGCGATTATTGAGAAGTGAGGTTCTGCCGGCTGTTGCATAGACAGTCGTGATTTTCAGCTATGTGGCATTATGTTCGCTTCATTTGCGAAGAGTCTGCGCTAATTTTGAAAATGTTTTTTTTTTTTAGGTGCCAGCATTTGAGACCGCTGATGGCAAATATCTAAGCGAGTCGAATGCCATTGCCTACTATTTGGCCAACGAGCAGCTTCGCGGTGGCAAATGCCCCTTCGCACAGGCTGAGGTGCAGCAATGGACTTCGTTTGCTGACAACGAAATCTTGCCAGTCTCTTGCGCTTGGGTTTTCCCTCTGCTTGGCATTATGCCGCAGCAGAAGAACGCGAATGTCAAGCAAGACGCTGAGGTTGTACTGCAGCGACTGAACAAGAAGCTGTTGGATGTCACCTACCTCGTTGGTGAGCGCATTACTCTGGCTGATATTGTTGTGTTCTCCAGCCTGTTGCACTTATACCAGTATGTGCTGGAGCCAAGTGTGCGCCGTGATTATGTCAATTTGAACCGTTGGTTCGTTACCATTCTGAACCAGCCACAGGTTCAGGCTGTACTCAAGGATTACAAGCTGTGCGAGCAGGCACTAGTCTTCGATCCCAAGAAGTATGCTGAATTCCAGGCTAAGACCGGTACAAAGCAGCAACAGCCAGCCAAACAGAAGGAGGAGAAGAAGCCCAAGGAAAAGAAGGAGGCAAAGAAGGAAGAGCCCGAGGAACTTGATGCTGCCGATGCGGCTTTAGCCGCTGAACCCAAATCGAAGGATCCCTTCGATGCCATGCCAAAGGGCACCTTCAACTTTGATGATTTCAAGCGCGTCTACTCCAACGAGGATGAGGCCAAGTCCATTCCTTATTTCTTCGAGAAGTTCGACGCCGAAAACTATTCCATCTGGCTCGGCTCATACAAATACAATGAGGAGCTGTCCAAGGTGTTCATGTCTTGCAATCTGATCACTGGTATGTTCCAGCGTTTGGACAAGATGCGTAAGCAGGCCTTCGCCTCAGTGTGCCTTTTCGGCGAGGACAACAACAGCACCATCTCAGGTGTGTGGGTATGGCGCGGACAGGAGCTGGCCTTCCCCCTGTCTCCCGACTGGCAGATCGACTACGAGGTCTATGACTGGCAGAAACTGGATCCCAAGAGCGAGGAGACCAAGAAGCTCGTCACCCAGTACTTCTCATGGTCCGGCACTGATAAGGATGGCCGTAAATTCAACCAGGGCAAGATTTTCAAATAAGTTGCAACGCAATATTTCTATCGAGATTCAAAATGCATGCAGCAAGCACTATGCCTATTTCTAAGTTCCAACTGATTAGTAAAGATATAAGTGAGTCGGAAACGTCGTGCTGTATTATCATCTAAAAATACATATGTCCTGGTTTGCTCAGCACGCCAAATCTTTTGTATTTCAAATCGTTTCAGCCTTCTGCATTTCTGTTAACAAAAGAATTGTTTTTGTAATTGCGTTTAATACAAGCAAGAAAAATTATACGTCGAACAGACCAACCAGGTAATAATTTATATACGGGAATTAAAATAAATACGCGTTTTCTACTACTACATCGATATGAAGTCTCAATTTAACCGCACAGTATAGATAGATAATCTCGATCCGATGTATATATTTGACCGATGTTGATGCTGCTTATGGAGGCTAAATGTGATCAAATGTTAAAAATAGCTTTTGCGAATCTAATCTAATGCTGCAAACTTAGTGATAATTTCTACCTCATAAATAAGCCATATTACAATTCCGACCATTATCAATTCGGTGATCGATAGAAGTTTTATCAGATTGAGTAACAGAAATAACGATTGGTCAGCTAGCCTGTTAATACAGATTACTTAAAAAGAGCTTACTTAATTTCGGTTTTATGAATTACATTCATTTAGGCAATCTTTATTGGCTTCATTATATCAATCAAATTTTGCTTATGGTAAAAATAAGTTGAAAACAATCTATAGAATTTAAAACAATTTGTTATTGCGAACTTGAGAACAGTTCTTTCTGCCTGCATATGAATATCAATAAGGAAATGCTAGAAAAACGCGTCACCAGTTTAGAATTATTTCCTCTTGATCACAACCGGTCCGACATTGTCGCCTGTGTTCTTGTTATGCTCGCCATGACTACCATCACAGTAGGGCCACTAAGAAATGGATCGTAGCATAAGTTAAAAGAAATATGGCATTGTCAGTTCTACTCACGTTCTTGGTCTTCCAGCAGCGACAGAAAGCGGCCGTATTCGCAATGTTTTCAATGTCAATCATATCGACGACCTTAGCCTCGTGCTTGCGTATGTTATCATTGCAACGGCCAGTGGAGGACTTACGCCTTGCTGCAGGGCAAAGGGCTTGATACGTGACATAGCCAATGCCGACAACAACGGCGGTGGGTGGAATGAGTGCTAGCCAATCTTTAACTGTAAAAAGTAAAAACCGAAGATAAAACACTAATTCAGAAATTGCTCTTAAATTAGGGCAAATTGTGAAAAATACAATTTTAGCCGGCTGAAGAAGTTCTCGACGAATGGAAACTTTCGATGCGAATTGAATTATGTTCCACAAATTAAACTTATCAATAATTGCCTACTGTTTATCTATGATGCAGATAAAAATTTTATGAGCTTTTCACTGAAAATTTTCGTCTTTTTGCAAAACAACAAATTCAACAATGGCGTTATTTTGACCCAGATGTTGCATAATAAGTTGGCTCAGGTGAGCAGCTTTTGTAAATGTTTAAGACATATGTACAAAGCATGCTTAAGCATGGCAGACAATCACTGAGCAATTTATCACTTTAGCTTATGCTATTTGGCACGTAATTAAAAATCTAGTTAAAGTTCACAATTTTATTCTGAGCGTCCTTTAGTACAATTCCAATGTTCAGACACGCGTGGCACTCACATGATAATTTAAACCAGCCACCAACGCTGTCGGGCACCGGCAAGCCGGACAAATAATTTGGCAGGCTTGTTTTCACTACTTGTGATAATAATTGCATTATGGTTTTAGTTTCCTTTGCCTTTTAATAAATTAAACGACAAATGTAGTACACAAAATATCTGTAAGCTGATTGTTTTTATTGTTGTTGTGTTAATGCTGTGTGACCCTAGGTATAAAGCAGAAATATACTGAAAAATGCGCGTATATAATTTAAATTTTTGTGAAATTCGAACAGAAAATGTTTTTGAGATAAACAAATATAGAATTATATGCTGATTTATTTTGCTATAGATTTGTAAACATAATTTCTGGAATTTTCTTAATTCCTGTCATTTCATTAATTCCTGTCTCTCCAAAAATACCTAAGTTATAAATAGTGACGAAGTAACAGTTACGTCAATACTGCTCATCTCTATCAGCGCTCATCTCTATCAACACAAAGCGGTGGTGAAATATTTGTTTGCGGCTTTCATATATAAAATAAAATTAACAAATGAGCCGCATTCCTCTTGACACTTGGTCCAAACGCGAGCAACTATGCCTAGCCTCGGCAGTATCGTGCAGCGGCGACCAGAATTGGATAACAGTTAGTCGCACACTGAAGTCAGTTTGCGGCAATGCAAACACTCGACCGGCGGATTGGTACTCCCAGAAAAATTGTGCCGTCCAGTATGGCCATTTGCTGGAAACGGTCGAGACCACGAAGCGCAAGAAGCGCACCAACGAAAGCAGCGGCTTCTCTTCGCCGGCTACTGTGGCCGTGGAGACTCCCACAGAAATTCTGCTGCGACGACTAACAGAGGAACGCCTGCTGGAAGTTAAAACCCAGATGCGTCGAGACCAAGAGCTGTATAGTAAGGTGCAGCGAGAAATTGAAGCCTTGCAGTCGGATGAGATGACCGAACAGCAGCTGCAGCAAATGTGGCAGGAAATCGAAAAGGAACAGGAAACAAAACGCATAGACGAAATGAAGCTCGAGAATCGAATGCGGGAGCGTGAGCAACGGAAGAAGGATATTGCGGGCAGTTGGCGTAACAGGGAAAGTGGAACAGGAAGACGCTCCAACCTAACTGCAGACACAACTTCCGTCGATATGGATGTGGAGGACATTGCAGGTTTGTTTCCCAATAGTCAGGATTATATGAGTGTAATATATATTAACAATAAATGTAATTCCAGCCGCCAACACAGCTGGGGGCAGCACCAAGCAGCAGGCGGCACCCGCTCCTTTGCTAACATCGCTACTTAAGTCGCCCAGCGGCAGCAGTGGCAACAGCGCCACATCTCCAACTGGCAGCTCAGCGGGAGCAGGCGTGGCCCGAGCGACGGCAACGGCGCCAACGATTACTTCGCTACTGACAAGTGGCGCCAGTGCCATACCCAATCAGCCGGCAGTCATATTAAAAAGTTCTAACGATCCAGACTTTATGACTCGACCCATTAGCGGACCGCCTGTAGCGGAGGTAGCTAACACCGAGCCTAGTCCCTCACAGGCAGCACCAACGCTGTCCATGCTGCTGGAGAAGAATAAACTAGCTACTGGAGCATCAGCAACTACTAGTAAACCAAATGAATCGCCAACAAAGTCCGCAGATGCGGAGGCAAGCTCCAGTGACAAACAAGCTGCAGCAGATCTGGAGGCAATATTCACTGATGATCCCGTAGAACAGCATCTGATCGAGGCTTTTTGCAAAAATATTATCGATGACATTGGCATTGAAATTGTCAGCGTTATTGATGAGGAGATACTGAAGAATGTGGACAATGTTGTTTCGCCAGCTGAGGAGCCAGCCAACGCTGAAGTAGCTGACTTTGATGATAAGCTCGAATCGCTAAATCATAACGATTCTGCCAGTTGCAAGTCCAGCCAATCGCCGGCACAGCCGAAAACACAGGAAGTGGTCATTGGTTCCAGCGATGACTCCAACGATAATATACCATTAGCTGCCGTAGCATCACAGGAGAGCAAGGACCGCAGCCAGCCATCAGTCGAAGCCGCAGACATAGCCACAGATGATGCAGAAATTATAGCCGAGGAGCTAAATGAAACCATCACCATTGCCAGCAGCTCGAGTGAGGAGAATGCGCGGGAAGTGCCCACACCTGTGGTGGCTGATACAGTGGAGGCATCTGAAACAGTAGTTAGCAAATCTCCTGGAGCAATTGAAGCCAACACACCCGAAGCTAGCAAAAAGACAGAAGAAAGTGCTCCTTCGGAGGAGACAGAAGTCAAAACTGAGCAAGTCGAGGCCAGCAACGAAGGTTAGTATAATCCAAAAGGTATAAGACTTCCACTTAAGCTTCATTGTGTTATTTCATTTTAGTCTCTAAAGAGGAACCCAACAAGGCAGCCAGCTTGGAGGCCTACAAAGGTACAGCCGAACCCAATACAGAGATGAAGACGCCTGCACCAACGACGGCCAGTGCAGTGCACGATACGGATGAAGAATCCTCCTCGCTGACAGACAGCAGTAAGACGGATGAGCCCATACGCAACGCTAAATCCAAGCAGCAAACTGATGCCAAGCCCGATCCAGAGTCCAGCACTGGCACGCGACAGACGCCATCCAGCGGCTTCGGTTTAGCCAGCACACCCGCTCCAGCGCCCGTTTCTGCACGTGCCCCACTGTTGCGTAGGCTGCCGCGTCGCGATCGCTCCGAGAGTCCCATGGTGGACGATGATACGACAACGGCCAGCGATCATTCCACAGCCAGATCCAGTTCACGTCGACGCTGCTCTTCAACTCCTGTCATAGATAGCATACCCAATTCACCGGCATCCAGTGAGCACACTGACGATCGTCGGGAAACGCGTGGCGCCTCCAAGAAGCTCTTCCTCAGCATCTACAGCACGCTGCAGGAGAGCAAATATGCGTCTCCTTTTCGGCGCGCCTTTCACGACGAGCACCCGCACAGGAAGGCAGAGCTGTGTCTGCGGCCCATGGACTTGCCCACCATCAAGCGCAACATCGACTCTGGCCATCTGCGCAGCATTAACGAACTACAGCGAGATGTGCTGCTCATGTGCCAGAACCTGCTGCTGGTCTACAAGCCGCATACCACACAGCACAAGACGGCGCTTCTCTTCATGCAAGAGTGTCGCTCGCTCAAAGATTTCGCCACAATCACTCACACGCCATCCGATAACAGTTCCTCCAGCAGCAACAGCAGCAAAGTGGAGAAGGAGAAGGAAAAGGAAAAAGAAAAGGAGCGCACGCCAGCTGGCAACAAAGCGCGCAGTGGCTCGCGCAAGAGCCAGAGGCATCACTAGACTTAGGTTATTACTTACACTTCATAATAGACCTTAATATGATATGTGCTATCAAACCTGCATAATCCTTTGCTCCCATGGCAGCAAATCAATGCCGCAATCTAATTAATTAATTATATAATTCATCAACTATTATATAAAATCTGTCTAATACTAAATATTTAAGCACATTATACAATAAGTCTGTCACACAAAATAATAGCCAACCATTAACAATTTTGTATACTACACTCGCACAATAGCCGCTGCTCTTATACGTATAATAATGATATATATATATAATACTATATATATATTTTTATTAACTCATGCAAAACAATATAAAAATATTAAAAAATTATCTTAATGGATAATAATCTTCAATGAAATAAGTTTTAAAATGTTGTTGAAACACTGCAAATGATCAGTTTAGTTAAATTGTGTGTCAGCTTAATAATAATACTGATTGTTTAGAAAACTAGATGTTTAATAGGTGTGAATCAAATCGGCTAATAATGTAGTTTCTTGGTTAAGTACGTCATGCCAATTGCAGCAATTGTGGCAGCTTAAGATATTTAATTGTTCATAAACTCCTAAATTTTGATTCAGATTTCAAGATTGTTCTTACGTCAGCTCCAAGTTAAGATATAAATGATTCAAAAATAAGTTTGAAGTTAAATCTGGAAATTGTCGATCTGAATATAAAGCTAAAAGCGAAACATAAAATATAAAAATTAATTAATTTATGTAAATGTTTCTTTAGTTATCTATAGAGACAGCCACTCTAGCTTTATTGCTATAAATTCGTAAATTGGAAGGATCATTTGAATCGACTTATGCTATATACAGAAGTTATGCTCACAACAGTTTGTCTTAAAAATAGTAATTGCCTCTAGTAACAAGTCCAGCCCAGATGTGTCAATCGAAGAATATCAGATTTTGCAGTCTTCGGGAGCGAGAGGAGTGGCAAACGGCTCGTCGAGTCGGGCAATAAAACTTACGCAAGCAGCGCGAGAGTCTCAAGTCGCATTGGCACAGGCGAGCCGCACAGGAATCGGGGCCACCCCACTCACCGTGATCGATGGCGCAAAGGGGCTTGCCCCGATAGCACTTCCACACGTAGGGCACAAAGTATTCGAGATAGGAGATGCAGTTGCTCTGGCCGTAGCACTTGTCGTGCAGACGGCAGCAGCGATCGATGCCATCGTTGGGCACTCCATGGCCGCCAAAGCCGCAATAGCAGCCGTAGCCCTTGTAGATCAATGGATCACAATTCGTGGAGCACTTGATCATGGAGTAGAGCTTGGCCACATCCCGTTTGCCGCGATCACTGGCCGGTTGGGTGTCATTGCTCAAAGCCCACTTCATGGAGTAACCAAAGGGATCGTTGGCACGCGCTATATACACATTCTCTCCGTTCAGCAGATCCTCGCGCTGCGCTTCCGCCAGGTTAGGCGTTACAACACGTATATCTGTAACATGTCCATATAGCTGTTGGGACTTCAAGTTCAGCAAAATGTCTGCCTGTGGATAGGTCAGCTGCTGCTGCTGCTGCTGCGCTGGCGCCCTGCGAGTCAAGAACTTAGTGGATGCATATACGAACTGAGGATACCTACTTGAGTGTCTGTTCCAGCCATGCCTGCGGAGGCTGCAATTCACCTGTCCAGCCGGGCAGGCCCAGCTGCTGCCATTCGCCCAGATTGGACTTGAGTGCAGCTGCTCGTGGTATCGTTGTGACATTGGGAAAGATTGGTTCCGCAAAGTCGGATCGCTGCATTGTCAACAGCTCAAAGCCATCGCGCTGGCTATTGGGCATTTTGAATGAGAAGGTTGGATTCGCTTGACGCATGCTCGCTCCATACATTTCCGGTATTATGTGCGCCAGCAAGGCGCTGTCATTGGTGATGCCCCTGAACGCATTCCATATATCATTCACAACCATGTCCGCATGACAGTGCACAGCCAGGAGCAGCAGCAGCCATCGCACATGTGCTCTTGTCCACATCTTGTGCACCCAAAAGTGTTAGCTCAATCAGACGCTGACGCAGACGCGGGACTCGTGCGATCTGTCCGAGTCGAGCGGCAATCAGAAATTGAAACTGGCGCGCCAGCGAAATGCGGTAGTTGGCCATTGGCCGCTAAGTACCCAACAAAAGAAACCAAAACAAGACCTCAGCGGTTAGCTAAGGCCGAACCAATGATACCCTGTAGCCAGCATTAACCCGAACTATACACTAGAGAGATTCTGGGCAAGAGCCCAGAAAGATAAGGAAAATGGCATCAATAATAATAAGTAAACAGATTTGTCTAAGTAAATTGCTCGAATTACAAATCCATTGATCCTTACATAGAGTTGGGTCTACCCAGTGCTTAGCCATTGGCAATGGGTATTACAAAAAAAAAAAAATGAAACATAAATTGTTCAAAATCGTGTTAATAGCAATAATAACAATGGCCAGCAGCGAAGCTGAGGCTGACGATGACTGCGGCTGCGACAGCGACTGCGACGCCGACGGATTTGGTGTGCGAGAGGCAAACGCATAAAACCAAATATACAAACTGACAGTGGCACAAATACGAAGCCGACTCCAGCGCCGTTAGGTGGGTCAGTAACCGTAACCCACATTGCGTATATGCGCGAAAAGTTACGGCAAGCGAATTGGGCGTAGCAAGCTAAGACGAAGGTGAGCAGCAGCAGCAGTCCGAGTCGAATTTTAGCCAAGATCAGTTCATGGCCATCATTTAGGGCTTTTAATTACCGAACTGAGCTACATAGTTGGCTCGCAAGGGGGTGGGTGGTCTGCAAACCGGTGATCACTTGGCCAAACAAAATTGGCATTGGTGTAGTGTGTGCAGCTTGTTTATGGTCTGGTTGTAGATACATAGCTAAAGTCAAGCGCACATATTAGTACTTACGTACGTATGTTGTTTACCTGTCTGCTATTGCACAGGTAATTTATAGTGTTCGCTTGCAACGCCTTCGTTACGTTGGTTGCATGTTACGTGTGAGAGCAAAAGCAACGCATTCACATAAAACATAAAACATTGTACTTTCAAGTCGAAGTCGAGCACACATCAATGTAAACATGAATGAAAATGGAAATGAATAGACGCATATATATACTTATACGTATTATCGGATATACAAGTGTTTGTTTAAATCATAGATTAAGTTAATTAAACGCAAGGCATTAATAATATCTAAGCTTCGCTTTAATTATTCCATGAAATTAACTAATATTTTCAAAAAGATTTTGGCGCGTAATATACTTTTGAGTTTGCCAATCGGTAAAAAAAAATCGAGTATGCTGTTATCGGTTGAATCGGTGCTTCAAATCAGTGTTGAAAAGCTTCACAAGCTGTCACTTTACAGCACTTAATTTAATTCAATCGGTTGATACATCGATAACTATCGCCTTATTTGAAATTATCAACCAGTAAAGGCAAACTTTAATTTGTTTGTTCATTTATCTGGAATTCTTTAATCTACAGCAGCTGCATTTTTGACTATTCAAAGCATGAACCCAGTCATGATCATCTACATATATTCATGCCCAAGGTACTTCCTCTCGCTTAGTAAGCATCGTTTAAGTTTACATATCAAAGACAGACAAAACGCTTCAATAAATTGCACACATATTTTATTTAGATTCAATAAATGTGATTACTATTCTGGCTCGTCCGGCCGTATGGTCTCTAAACATAGTACAAGTGTTTGTTGCAGCATCATCCTCGCGGGCAAACGGAAATGCCACGCATTGGAAGAAGCATTTTTCCAGCTGCCGCTGCCACTGCCACTGCCACTGCAGTAGTCGTACTGCTGGAACAGCATATCCAGTAAAGACGTCGCTGGCCAGAGTTCAAGCTGCGTTGTTCTGCTTTGCTTTAATCGCTGCATTGTCATCTTCTTTGCTGGCAGCGATCGACCGACGGCTTACTTCTCGCCCCTTTTCTACTTGCAATTGCAAGCATAGTGCTTGTTGTTCTCCTTCTGGTTATGGCAGTCGTAGTTGTTGTTGTTTGTGGGAACGAGCACACAACACAGCACAAAGCTATTTTCAAATTGGAAAGGTTTTGCACTTCGCCAACGCAGCCACCAGCTCGGTAACTCTTTTTGTTCGCTTTGTTTGCGGCTTCGCTGCTGCAGCCGTTGCTACTGCTGCTGTTACAGCCAACTTCTTTCTCGTTAGTTTGTTATTTTAACTATTATATCAATTAGTTTCAACGTTTGACGGCTTCGCCAGCTTCAGCTCATTGTGGCTGTGGCTGCTGCTAGATTGTGGATGGAAGGAGGAAATGGAAATGGAAATGGGAAAGCAAGGCGAAGGTAGCGGCAGACACGAAGTTCGAGGTTGAATTTTGCGCCGTTGCAATTCACTGCGTTTGGCTTTCACGCTGGGGTTGAAACTCTCAAAGTATGCGTGCGTGTCTCTCTGTGTGTGTACCTACAAATAGCAGCACTCTCATTTTGAAAATATGTAAATAACACAATGAACGTGGCTTTTTTATTGGCCTTCCAGTGCGTTGGCATTTCAGTAGCGTGAAGAAGGAAATAGCGATCAGGGTTGAAAGGTGTTCCGGGCCTTGTTTGCGAACGGCAACTGAAATTATACTTGGAGAAATTTAAATGCGGCAGGTGTTACAGTTAGACGCGCTGTTAGCTTCGACGCTTGGCAGCACTGGCTAAAAAATATAAAAACAAAGAACAGTTATTTTCGGTTGGCCGATGATTTAATGCCCTTGCAGACATTACAAGCGGGCGTATTATTTCTAAAATCCAATGATATTAATTGTTATCATATAATGCGCATGTGTATGTATATGTATTTATATACGGAATACAAGTAAAGATTAATTCCAAGCTGTATTCGGATAGCTTTCAAACTAAGTAATTAATAATATAAAAAAGAAATAGTTCATGATCTCAAAAAAAGTTTTTTGTTTTGTTTCCATGCAAAACACATTTAATGGGAAACAGCACAACCCACATGCAAAAGATAGTTAAACAAAAACGTTAGTTTTTATTTTCTTTGCTTGTCGTTTGGCGCATGCGATTACGACAGACAGCGAACCCGCAGGCGCAACTGCGACAACCCCCTCGATAAGTTCACACGCTGACAAATACAACAACAACAGAAGCAGCAGCCAGACTAGACTCACGTATATTTGCTTAGCTAGAGGCATTTGTCAACGGGCGGTGGCAGTTACAATTCGGATTCGAATTCGAACTCGAATTTGAAATCGATATCCAATCGCGTGTCGCTTGGCCATAAACCAGATAAAACGCTCACAAATCAGGCTACTCCAGAAGCAGCAGCAGCGGGATGCGGGCGAAAGGGGGCGTGTGAGCCAGCATGCATTGGCTTCGACTACTGCTGCTGCGACGGTCAAATGGCTGCAACTGACAGTGCCAAAAGGTCAATAACTCCCTTTATTATTTTTTTTTTGCTGCGGGTGAGTGTGCGCGCTTCTGCTTGTCATATTATGTGGGTCACGGGTCAATCATGTAATATAATCATTTAGATGTATGTATATGTACGTATACGTATATACAAATATTTGTGTTGCACGACTGATTGATGCGCCAGACACAGCCCAAACGGAAGCTAATTGCTTTTTCCTCCGTTTTTTACGTCGATAATAAGTTATCGGTAGGAAAAGTTTTCTCTTTTCTTTTAGTTTACTGTTGAAGACATAAAATAACTTTTTTTTATATATTGGAGAGTATGTAAAAAAAAGTACCAAACTTATCATAATTGCCGACTTAGATTGCCGAATTTATTTTTATTTATTAAAGTTTCCCCTTCAAACTATTTTTCGCTATTTCAATCTTTTTGTTGGGCAGTTGCAACTGATGACATAAATGGGGGCAGATTCATTCTTATCGATTCATGGACTTCCCATAAAATGTTCCTTATGATCAAATCATGTATTTAATGTCTTTGCACATTGCAAAAGCAAATGCGTTTGGCTAATTGACGTGTCCCGATGGCAGCTGCTCCTGGCTCTTCTCTTTATAATGGCCTCTTGGCAATGTTTTCACCGTGTGTATGTGTGTGTTGACCCAACTTAATAGACGAGCATGAAATCTAGTCACGAACTTAATCATGAACAACCGTGCACTAGATCCATGTTCGCCGACAAAATAGAGTCAGAGAAGAGCAAAAAAATATCAGGCAGCAGCTGCAGCAGAGACGACTGCCCCTCCGTCCTCAATCTCGGTCGCTGGCTCTTTTCATGCATTTGATCCATCCTATGCCATCCTGCAAGCAATGATTATTGCTAGTGCACGACTTTCTGTGGCATTTGACTGGTGTACCTCCTGCTGCCCCTCCTTAACATTCACCTTCTCCTGGGCCTCTGGTGTTTGGTGATTTTCTTAGTTTTATGGGCTTGGTTTGGTTTTTCGGTCACTTTTCGGATATCACTTCGTTCATTTTGCTCGTGCCTGGCAACACAATTTCAATTGGGGCTCGTTTTGATCGGTTTCATAGCTCAATTGGCTGTCAGCCCCTTCCAATTCCCCTCTCCCACTTCAGCCATCGGGCGCTTGCTTTTTGATCCCAAGCGTATTGTATTTACATTTGCATTTGTATCTGTGTGTGTCTGCGATATGAATGAATCAAGCTCGAAGCTTCGAATTAAGGTTTATTATTTTGATACCCTATTTCACAAAGTAATTTAGAGTATATTGGTTATTGCTTAGAGAGAGGTAAAGCTGTTTGAAGTGTATATTAAGGAATATTCTCATCATATAAATTGCTCTGCGTGTATCTGAATGTGTTTATTTGGATGCTATATGAATATATCTAACCGACAAGCTTCGCTTAGCAAAATGTAAATTCCTTTAATTCTAGAGTTTGCTTAAACTACTTTGATTTTTCCGTTTGCAGAGTATTTTGCAGTTGCTTTTTCTTAGTTTTGTCTTTTTTGAGTTCAGCTCATTGCTATTTCTGCTGATTTATACAATAATTCTTGCACCCGCCTCATGC